CCGCCCACCCATCCATCCATCCATCCACTCACCCATCCATCCCTCAGTCTGTGCTGGTACTGGGGATTGCCCTGACCCAGGCTCAGGACCTTGCACTTGGCCTGGTTGAGTGTCACGAGGTTCTCATGGCCCCACTCCCCCAGCCTGCCCAGTTCCTCTGGATGCCCCCCTCCCCTCCAGTGCATCAGCAGCACTGCTCAACTCGGTGTCATCTGCAAACTTGCTGAGGGTGCACTCGATCCCACTGTCTGTGTTGTTGATAGAGATATGAAATAATATTAGTCCCAGTATGTACCCTTGAGGAACACCACTTATTACTGGTTTCCACTTGCACACTGAGCCACTGACTCCAAATTGGATGTGGCCATCTGGCCAATTCCTTATCCATCTATATTCCATCCATCAAATCCATATCTCCAAATAAGAGGCAAGGAAGCTCTGGGGGTCCATATGAAAGGCCCTACAGAAGCCCAGGTAGATGACATCTGTAGCTCTTCCCTTGTCCACTGATGCAGCCACTCCATCGTAGAAGATCACCAGCTCAGTCAGGCACAGTTTGCCCTCGGTGAAGCCATCTTGGCTATCTCTCATCACCTCCCCATCATCCATATATTTCGACCTGTCTTCCAGGAGGATCTGCTCTATGGTCTCAGCATGGAGGTGCCTGCCAGTAGTTCCCAGCCTGGGGCTGGAACAGCCTTTCTAGCCAGTCTCCTCCCTGGTGGTTTTTAAACTGGGTTATTTTTATTGTGAAACACTATGGGAAATGTTTCAACCAGCTCCGCAGATGCCTAGGAAGGATTCCTTATGGTGTGCTTCCAGTGACCGGTAGCTCATGGGGCTCCAGGTCCGTGCTTCCTCTTTGCATTCACCTTTAAAAATACTCTGCGTTTTGGGAATGGAAATGCCCAGATAAACAGGCACATCGGTGGTAACCTGTGAGAGGTAGAAGGAAAGCTTTAAGGCAAGAAGGGTTTATTTTTTAAAATTTCCTTGGAGGAACTGTGGCCAGGATCTTCTTCAATTTTTTATTGAAAGAGCTAACTCTGCCAAGAAGAGCCTTCTTCCCAGCCTTGTCAGGCAGCGCCTGGATAAGTTTGCAATTGCACTTTTCTGATTACGTTAGTTGTAAGTTGGATTTACTGGTTGTTGTCAGTAAAGAATTGCAGGTCGCAAAGAGGTGAAGGTTTATTAATCCGAGCAATGGGTGAGTGAGGAGGCTTCCCCAGCTGCGAACTGTAGTGTCTGCGGTGAAGGCACTGTGGTGGTGACGCTCAGACGTGCTGCAGCAGGCGGGTGTCAGTTGCCCGCCACTCGCTGTGAGGGGTGGAGGTCGGGTGGGTGCCGTCTGCCACCCTCCCGCTCGCCGCTGGGCAGCCTGGAGGCTTTTTCCCCCCTCCTCTGTTGGAGATGGTGAACGTCCATGCCGAGGGTTAGGCTGCAGGCAAGAGATCCTACCTGGCAGCTCTGGGTGCCAGTTCCTTGGCTTTGTCCCCTTCCCTGTGGCATGGGGAATGCTTTTGGGAACTCGGAGAGCTGTGGGAAAGGGGAGCACAAGGGAATTGGTTTTTCCTCTTTCCCAAGCAGCTGGGGCTGTGCTGGAGCTGCGTCACCAGCCCGGGCTGGGCATTTGCCCTCTGCTGGGCCGGTGCCCTATTTGCTGTTGGCAGAGAGGGGGGAAAGAGCTCCCACTGCTGCCTGCAGCCCTGCCTGCACCCTTGCCTGCAGCCCTGCCTGCAGCCCTGTCTGCAGCCCTGCCTGCAGCCCTGCCTCCCCTGTGCTGCCTGGGCTCCCCTCCAGGGCAGGTCACATGCGGCCCTGGGGCTTCTCAGCGGTGTGAGGCTTGGCCTCGGACCAAAGCCTCATCCCCCGCTCCCAGCGGGGACTGGGGGCACAGCCCCGTGGTGCTGGTGGCCGCGGGGGCATCCCTGCTCCCATGCAGTGCTCAGTGCCTGCAGGAGCAGGGCAGACCTGGCTGGGCTGCGGGGAAGCTGGCCTGTCCTCAGGCATCAGGCCTTGCCCCTCAGTGCTGCTTTTCTTGCTGGGGGGCTCCAGCTGTAGCAGCTGTGAGGTGGTGTTGTTCAGATTCCTGTCGCCTGAGCTGTGAAGGGTTAAACAGATTTGAGTGAGTCACTTAAACGGACGCCATGGATGTGAAAATAATTGTCTGGGAAGCCTGTGCCTGCCAGGTCACCCAGTAATCCTCACACGTCCTGTGACTAACGCCAGCCAGAAGGAGTGTTTTCTCCCTGCTGCTCAGTTGGGGATGTTTTGAGGGCAGGCAGCCCAGCTCCCCATCTCGTGTCCTCTCCGTCCCATGTCCCCTCCCTTCGTCCACATGGTCCCATCCCTGTCCTGAGTGGCTGACACAGGGACACTCCCTCTGCTCACCGCTTGCCCTCTGCAGCACTGCGGTGTTTCCCTCAGCCTGAATTGGCAGGGAGAAGGGACAGGACGCAGCAGGGGGTTGTGCCAAACTGTTTCATAGGATCCAAGGTGGATATGGGTGGGAACGGACCATGGAGGTCCCTGGTCCCGTAGCCTCCATTCGATCAGGTTGCTGAGGCTTCACCCAGCCCCATGCTCAGGATCCTTACAGATGGGCATCCCACAGCCTCTGGGTCCGGTGGTTGACCGCCTTCACAATGACAATTTTTTTTCCAAATACCTGATTTGAATTTTGCTTGTCCCGGCTTGGTCCATCACTGCTTGTCCTGGTCCTGTGCACCTCCAAGCACCAGCAGGGAGCTGAAGGTCACCTCAAAGCACCAGCAGGGAGCCTGGCTCTGGCCGCTCTCTGTCCTGCTGGGTAGGCAGCGGTAGGAACCCCCTCTGCTTTCCCTCTCCCAGGCGAGCAAGCCCAACTCTCAGCCTGTGCCCACGCTGATGGCAGCCCCGTGTCCCCTGGCCCATCCTGCGTCTTTGCTTCCCCATCAGCCGGCCCCAGCCAGCCTGGGTGCAGGGGGTTACTCAGCCCAGGCTGGTTTGTTTCTTTATTAAATACAAGTTCATTCAAGAATGGGGGAAAAAAAATAAATTAGTCACTCGAATGAGGACTCAAACTGAAAATGTCCTCTTCTAGCAAACACAGAACTGTAGCACTGCCCCTGGCGAGGCCGCGGGGTCGGCTTGCTCAGGAGTACCTGAGCCTGGGGGGAAGGTATTTGCAGATGTGTCCATGTTCTGCCTTTCCCAACAGTGCTGAAGCTCTGAGCTCTGAGTCAGAAATGGGTGCAGCCGTCAATAGAATGTGACCTTCCCCCAGCATATTCCCATCATCATGATTTTCTAATTATGCCCGCGACTGCCAGCTGGGAGTGTAGAGCATCAGAGCTACCACAGCCATTGAAATGACTCAGTTAATGTGCCTAGAGTCTATTAAACAAAGTTTTATTTAATTAAGTAAGTCTTGATCTCATCAGAATCAAGAGGGAACATTAGGGTGGCAGCATTTCCGAGAAATCCTATTTGAATGGCAGGTGCTTTGTACTTTTTTAGTATCCGGATTGTGAGATACTGCAACGGGCTGGCCTCACTGCTGAGGTTTGGGGTTGGCCAGTCCCACCGTTGTAGTCCCTGGAGTGAGTGCAGGGTGTTTCGTAGCACCCACCTTTCTGCCAGTGCACAGGGCGAAGGGCTGCACAGGCAGAGCACAGCTGAATGCCTGTGTGCTGGGCACGGGTGCTGTGCCCCCCAGTTCAGCCCAGCTGCTGTGCTTGGGGAGGTCCCACAGGCAAGGGGCACACCTGCACGCTGGCTCCTTTGAGGACATTCTTGTTTCTGGGAGAGGAACCTGGCTGAGATCACAGAATCACAGAGCGGTTTGGGTTGGAAGGGGCCTTCAAAGCTGCTCCAGTCCAGCCCCCTCGCCAGGGCCAGGGACATCTCCCCCAGGATCCGGTTCCTCAAAGCCCCATCCAAGCTGGGCTTGAACCCTCCCCGGGCTGGGCAGAGGGGTGTGGGGGGAGCGGGGCCGAGGGGGAGCATCCCCTGCCTCCAACTGCTGGCCCCACTGCTGGGGCTGCAGCCCAGGGGACGCTTGGCTTTCTGGGCTGCCAGCGCCCATTGCTGGCTGATGGCCCATTTGTCACCTACCAGTATCCCCCAGTCCTTCTCCACAGGGCTGATCAAGGAGCTTCGCTCCGATATGGGTTTACCAAGCCTTGCTTGTGGCTTGGAGATGCCACTGCAATGCAGAGTAAAGTCCTACAAACACGTGTGCCCGGAGGTGCTGCAATGGTGCTGCTGTCAGTGGTGGTGAACTCAGAGCTGATTCCCGGCGTCTGTGCGTGGGAGCAAGGGCCGGTGGATGCGTTCCAGAGCCATTGGTCAGGCAGGGCTCTCGCCTCTGGTGTATGCTGCAGTTTCCTCCTCCCTCTGGCCGAGTCAATGGTCCTGGCAGCCTGGGAGGCTCCTGTAAAAGCCCTCGCAGGCTGGGAGAGGCAGCCCTGGGGAGATGCGGAGACTCACTGATGGGCTCTGTACTCGGCAAGGCTCCTCTCCCCGGGGAGCACGCATAGGTCATGCGGGGGTGCATGGGGTGCCCCTGGGCACAGGGACGAAGGGACTGGCTTGTACTTGTTTTTATTTGCAACTCTCGTTGCAAATGCCCCTGCCCATTGAAATACAAGAATTGCTTTACACTCTCGCACTGCTGCGGGCTTTTTTTGCCATTCCTGAGCCGTGGGCTATGGGGCCGGGGGTGTTTCTGGCTGCCTCAACGCCAAGTTTTCTGCTGAAAGCAGCAAATTCAGGTGGGGGAGTGAGCACAGACAGTCTGGCTGTTAGTCAGGGGGGCTGGTGGCAGACAGGATCTTTCATAGCACCTGGGGGAGGGCTGGCCGGCATGGGGAGATTGGCTGCTGGTGAGAAGAAGGTCTTTGGTGTCCAGCAGTGGTTTTCTCTCCACTGCAGGAGCCAGCAAGGTGGATTGTGTATCCCTTCCCGTCGCCTCCCTGCAGAGCCAGGGCAGGTTCGGGCTGCGCAGGCAGGGGGTCCTGCAGAGCGGCCCCTCGGCTCCCTGCTGGCCTGACCAGCAGCAAGGTGATTTCCAGGCACAGGACCATGAAGAGGGTCCATTGGGGGGCATGGGGTGGAAGTGTTCCCAGTCTGGAGGTGGGAGCGCTTGCAGCTCTGGTCTCCACACACTGCAAAGCCGGGCAGCGGATTCGAGCAGTGGCTCCAACACGTCCGTGTTTGCTCTTTTCTTTTTCCCCAGAAACGAAGGAGGAGCTGGAAGAGCTGATGGCTGACATAAAGAAGACAGCGAACAAAGTGCGCTCCAAGCTAAAGAGTGAGTATTCGCCTGCACTGCTGCCATGGCGCTCTGCCCGCTGCGCTCCTGCCCTGCAGCCCCAGGCAGCGGGTGCTGCACTCCCGTCCCGAGCTGAGGATGCAGCAGGCAGGGACCATTGCTGCCCTGGGTCCAGCTCCATCCCCATTGCTCAGCACTTCCTGCCCGTCCTCCGTGACCACGGGGCCCTGGCTGTCACTGCAGCCCCGTGCCGGTGGCAGCATCTGGTGACCCAGCGGCAGCTTTGACTCAGGTCAAGGCAGTTTTGGGGTGGTTGACTGGAGGTGGGAAGGGGCAGGTTACAGCCACACGGCCCGGCCCCATCTGTGTGTCCTCTGGCGACCTGGGCTGGTGCAGGGAGGGGTCACAGAGCTGGGGGAAGGCAGAGCCAGAAGTGGCATCAGCCCTTGCTTTGCAGGGATCACCCGGGGATGGGCGGTACCTTCCCTCCCCCCAGCATCCGCTAGCTGCTTTTATTTGCCCTTTGTGAATTTTACCCCTTGTGCCTCATTCCCAGGATGGAGATGAGGGAACGGGACCAGGAGCACTGGTGGGCTGTGAGCAAGTCCCATGCCACCAGCATTGGCAGGCGTGGGGCTCTCCTGTTGAGCCCCAGCTCTGAGCAAACCTGCAGTGTGGCCAAAGGTTGAGTTGCCAGGGGCTTAAGAGGTGCTGCTGTGGGACTTACAAGACTCCAAGAAGAGCTGTCTCTTCCCCAGTGAGCCGGGCTGGCACAGGCAGCCTGGGCAGGCACAGCACCAAAGGGGTCCCATCCAGAGAGCCATGGCCTCTCTGCCTCGCGCGGCCCCGGCCTGGCCGAGCGGTGCTGCTGGCTCTCTGGCGGTGGGCTGGCACGGAGCTTGTGCTTCTCGCTGCTCCCATCCTGCTCCCGCCAGGCTGGTCTTGGTTTTCCATCCCCAATGCCGGCTGTGCTGCCGGCTCTGCGAGCGGCGCAGCTGGGACACAGCGGGCACTGCTGCCCCCAGACGTGGGCTCTGTGGGGCAGAAAGGGGGC